ACCCATCCAACACATTCAATTGCTCATTCGTCGACAATGACACCTGCAAAGCAACCACACCATCATCCGCATTTGTAGGACAACAATCACTCGCCACGACAGGCTTCAACTCACAACAGGGTTGGTCTTATTCGCACTGATACAATACGACGCCTTCAGTCCACCATACAGAGGCGTCACTGCCGACATCTCCGTGATTAAATGCGCCACCGACACCGCCGCGATCCTCTCCTTTACCAACAGCAGCGCAGCCAGATTCTCATTGTTCCCCTCCACCACCCGCTGCAGCCAAGCACCACAGATGAGGCAACGGTATGATACGAGACAAAACCAACCAACTTACGCGGTAATGCAGTAGCAAACGCAGCAACGAGACCATCTTTGAGCTCAACGGAAAGTGTGCCATGATCCACTCACCCCAGGCGGGATCCGTGGCATTGGACGCCGGTGGCTGAGTGAGGCTGGCGGTGAGCGACTGACGGATTTGTCGATAGGTCTCAAGTGCTTCCGCCAATGAGGTCAAGCAGGTCTGAATAATACTAACACACTGAGGACTAGTTACGACTTTAGATGAACTCAGAAGCAGAAGTCCCTTGAGCACCCTCTCAAACTGCTCGCATGCCTAGTGAGCAAAGAAACAGACACTTGCCAAATCAAACTCCAACTTGTCTACCAAGTTAGTGCAACTAATGCCTACATGAGCAGCGCAGTAGACTCCGAATTCCTCCATCGTACGGAGACACTGAATGAAGAGGCGCTTCACCTTTGACGGACTGAACTCGTGCAATTCCATGACGGTGAGGAAGGCCTCCTTCTTAATCCTCTTGTTTTCGTCAAGCAGAGCTTCCAGATCTATGTAATCCTCCCTCCCCGCACCACAAGAGAGCCTTTCGATAACAACAAATGACGATTAGTATGACCGTCGAAAAGGGAGCAGATGGAACGCACTGTCTAAGTTTCTCTACGCCACGAAGAAGGACTTGCGAAACCTCGTAGTAGGGATCGTTTGGCTCAAGTCTGGTGTCGCAACATCCCTGCCTAATTTCCAAGCGCCGATGACCCATTACGGCGTCAATCGA